GGCTCTCTTTGGGATGGTATTTTAGATAACTCAGTTCTCTGGTGCGCACGCCAAAGGGATAAACTCATTTAGCAGGTTAATTAGTGTCCTTGGTAGAAATGGTATCAGCACTCTCCCAGCCCACTCAGCAGAGGAGGTTGGGAAGCGTAACGCAGGCAGAGGCAGCGTGTTTGGGAATGGCCCTGCCCATCAGCCCCGGCTCCGCTGGCACTGTGGCCATGAACTTGCTCACTGACAATTTTATCGTACAAATCCACCATTGCCCACATTGTTAAGAGAGTAAAGCTGCCCACTTCACGCAAGTTCTCTGTTCAGATCCAGAAAGATCTCGGTCTCAATGCCCAGTGTACTCCGTGGGGATGTGCATCACCGTTCCCCCTCGAGCAGAGGTGGAAGAGTCACACCGGTTTACCAGCAGCACTAGGTTTGTTCTTAAATATTACACTGAGAACTCCTCCCTCCAGCCTGTAAACAATTAGTTCACTAGCAATGTACTTCAGAAACCCGATCCATAATCAATGGTGATGCACAGACTCAAAACAGGTCTGCTAACTGCTGACCACAACCAAGCAGCCCCTTGGCCCACAGCTACATTACACTCCTGCGCTAGATGACGTTAAGACTTTAAGATAAGACAGTTTCACTATTTGCAGACGAAATCATATTTTCGATACAGGCACTTACTTGCAAATGTTCTATTTATTGTTTGGCAGTAGCTGTACACACACTTGCTAAAACAGCAGAGTTCCGTTTGCTAAAATACAATATTTGGATGAGACAGCTCTAGGTACCCATTTTCCTCTCCAAACTACGCATTTCAATTTTTAATGAGCTCTGTTCGTCTCAATTGTACCTGGAGCAAAGCAGACGAGATCAGCCTTCAATTTACCTTTGGGGTTATACTAGTCATAGTCTCAGGGTACCGGGAAGATGTTTTCTACTGTGGTTGATTGTAATGACTATACCTCTCTATCCAACCCATGCCCAAAGTCAAGTGCAGATCTTCAGAGAAAGTCTTTTTCTCATACATAAGAGATTATATCATTATCTATAATATAATCCTCACTATAAGGGCTGCTATAATCCATTAAAATTCAGAAGTAGATGAATAATGAATAGATATGCTATTTACTTACAGTAAATTAGCAGTTCCTAGCCTCTCCTTGTGATGGTAAATCCCAGCTCGAAGGGGTAACAGAACACCTGCCCCCACCTGCTCCCCCTCCCTCCTGTGCCCAGTCCTGCACGGGGCACCGAACAGGGCGACACTGAACTCTATGCCCAGTCCAAGTCCAGTCTGACATTAGGGCTTACTTGGTTTTGCTGTTGTCTTTTTATACCCACAGCAAAGTGACAAAGCACGATGTAACACCCTATTGTTAGCATGCTCGGGGACTAACAAAATTTGGAGAGTTGAGAACAGGAGCCTTCAGGGCAGCCGGCTGCCCAACCTCTCTGCATTACTGGGAGAGCACCCAGAGAGCGTTACAGGCCAGACTGCAAGTCAAGAAAGGAAAGCTTTGACACCAGGGCAAAGCAGAGAACACAGATACAGCACCTACGAAGATTAGTGTTTGCAGCCTCCTTGGCCCCCTCTGTTTTCTCACCCTTCTACTATCAGGTAGATGAGGTGAGAAAGATCACGTTATTAGGAACACGCAAGAAACACCTCTCTTGGAAACCGGGATGAAACACCACAGCGTGTCTTTAGGAGCACAGACCAGAAGGAGACACCACGGGGCCAGCCCTGCCGACAACCAGCAGAACCAAATTCCCGAGTATCAGGGGACTTAGCAGACCTCTGCTTGTCCTGGCTGAACGTGGACAGCATGAGATAAAGGTACAGCAACTGTTTTAAAAATCGAACAAACAAAAAACCCCCCCCAAAATCCAAAACAGAACTGACAACATAATGACAGAATTTCTACAGTTTTACTTAACATTGTGTTGATTTAGATACATGTACACTTTTGTAGAAATCTTGAATAACAGCGTAGCTTATTTAGGATAACAAAAGCTGCAAAAGCCACTGAAAGCCTTAAATGTGCAAAATACAATTCACCACATATTAAGATTTTTTTTTCCCCCCTGACTGCCAAACCAAAGCAGACAGGTATCATAGCAGGGCAAAGAAGAATATAAGCCAGGCTAGAAATATTTCTCTGTTTCTACCTCCACAGTTCAAAATTAAAACATAAACTTACCACTATAATAAGGATTTGAGAAATCCAGGGTCATCAGCACCAGTCTAACAGTCACCTATTGTAGAAAATAAAAACAAAACCCCACAACTGGAAACCCCTGAAAACTAGATTTTTTTTATTTACAAACAAAATAAGCTATTTACTGCATTAGGCCTTCCTGAATCTGGTTTCTTGAAGCAAGTAAGAAAGCTTCAGTTAATGTCCTTCAGTCTCAAGAGGGGTTTGTTTTTTATAATTATACACTAAACAAAAGAGGGTGTGCAAACAGCATTTTAATGCATACTGTTGTACACCTGTGCAGAGGCAGTTTTCCTTTTTTAAACTTTTGCCCTCTCAGCAGCTGTTCTGCTACAGACATCTCGCCCACAGCATATCTGTGCAACACAACAGAAGTAAAGACTTGTTTCATGTTTCTCTCCCCTCATTCCCCCCAGTCAGCAACTCTCTGTAGACCGGCTTTTTTAAAAACTTAAACCTGCTACCTGTTTAAGCAACTGCTTAATACATGGACCTGCAAGAAAGGAAATTTCCAAAACAGGCTGAAATACAGCCACTGTTCACCACCTTAACCTAGGATTTCATTTTTGGATTTGTCTGAAGTCAGTTTTTAGCTGAGTGTTTATGGAGATGACAACCAAAGCAGAACATAAGGGACTTCAGGAAGAGATTTCTCAGATCAAGAAAAATTAGAAAATATTCCTGAAGATTTTGCAAAATTACAGTTTTTCAAAAATGTTTATGAACTTCGAGACTTCATGATGAGCTGTGGTGCCAAGGGGCAGGTGTCTTAATCCCTGGGCAGAGAAAAAAAATGAGTTAGTATACTTCGGTAATTTTTATAATAATGTTATAATAATGACATTGACATATGATCTATTTGATATATTTGATATCTACATGATATATCAAATGACATATTTAAATATCTAATTGATAAGTAATATAGTTGTCATTGATATGCATTGTTGTTAAATTCTAAAATACAGAGATACTCACTACATTGTGAAAGAAGTTGCAAAGGTGCTTTGCCCATGGACACCTGAAAAACAGATACAGATTCTTAATCCATTTTCTCATAGGCACCCACCTGCCCCCAGTTTCAGCCACTCTGAGTTTGGCATTGATCAAAGCTTTACAAGAAGGCTAATCCAACAATTCACTTCAACTTCCAAATGGAGATGATTTCAGCATCAGATGCACAGTAAAATAATTAAGACACAGATAGAGCATAAGAAACAGGATTTCATCAGATTCTCTTGGATCACTGCTAGAGCATACTGTAAAGCCTCACAAAACAAAAAAGACAATTAATGGAATTGCAAATTTGTTAAATACAGCTTAGTCACACACAACTGAGTGAAATTAGGTATTTTATTTTCTCAGCTACACACAGCAAAGGCTGGAGAGAAGAAACAGACAGAAGCCTTTCACAAAGAAGGTCAACTTACACATCCATGATTTCCACTTAGACAGCTACTAAGAAGTCGAATTCTCAACCTTGCTCTGCTGCCATCAGCTATGTGTGAATTAAAAGTGCCAGAGCAGCCAATTACTCTGCCTTCTGGTCTACAATGACAGAGTCAATTCATTTTAAAACTATTATGTCAATACATTAAAGCTCTATCACTCTAAAGCCTATAATGCTTTACTGCATAACACAGGAGAGCAAGGATTATATTTATAAACAGCTAGTGGTTTCAAAAGCAACAGTGTTTTATTATAATTTGTAATCTAAATAAATAAAATACTGACACTTTTTCAGAACTCTGTTTTCCCCACCCACTGAAGCTTTGTGCTGCTGCAGAGCAAGTGGTCTCTCTTCTTTTTAAAGGAGGGTAAGAATGACAGGCACAAACTTAATGCTGTCCTCAGTTTGTATTACAGTGCACATATGTTCCCGAATCTTTAGTTTTTGGTGGGGACCTAATCCCTCACCACCATGTGAAGCATTTCTTACCAGTTTAAAAGAAACCTTGACATCTGTACACCCATTGTATTCTTGTAGACACACAATAATACACATTTTGAGCTACTTTTAACTATTTTCTCTAAATAAAGTTTTATGCAGTATTATGCCTCCTTAGAGTCCAGTAACTACTTTGCTGTAAGTCCTAATTAAGGTTTTTTGGTTGTTGTTAATGACAATGATATTTAAGTAATAGAACTAGACTGTACCATATGTAATCTTGATGACTGGTCAGGGTTGCCAAGAGCAGAAAACATGTTTTTCATAACATTGGGCACTGGGAAGTGAGAAGGCCATTTGGTTGCAACAGGTAACATAGAACAATTTCAAATCTACTCAGAACATTGTGTTCAGTATCTTTACCACTGCTAATACCAGGGAAGAATAAAAAACACAAGAATGAATTGTGAATTAAGACTGTTAATTAAGAGAAAACTACCATCAGTGTTGCAACAGATAATGATTTTCTATTTGGCTATGATGAAGATTCACACTTACACATGCAGGTTTTCTGTAATAATATTCAGAGTGAACAGGCCAATGGATTGCATCTTCTTATGTCTGCATGTCAGGAACAGGCAAAGGAATTCACCCACGTACTGGGGACCAAGGTTTTGCCACCTAAGCAATATAAAACCAGGAAACAGAACACAGCTGTTCAACAGAGACAACTTTCCTGTTGATTCCTAGCATCTTATTTGCATTCTTGACTTACCCAAAACACTGGTTTCAGAGAGCTAAGAATTATATCTCTGCTTAACATTACTGCTGCGGGACTGCTCTTACTGTTTCCATAAACAGACAACTTCAGGGAGCAAGTGTTTACTCACAGTTTTAGCATTGTTGCTTTCTGACGATTTAGATCTCTCAAAATCAGATTGACAATGCCATGGAGAACATGTTCTTCATAGGAAAGATGGTCCAATAACAGCCTCAGAGCCCAAAAGTTATTCTAGAAGAGACAAAATAAGACCAGTGATTTAACCTAATTCCCAATAATTTATTAAAAAACAGTATAAATTAGAGGTCAGCAAAGCTAAAGGGGAACAAAATCAAGTTAAAAGTGCCTAAAATATCCAAGTTGGTGTTACAGAGATTTTAAATATCATTTTAATCACTTAGAATAGAAATCAGTATCTAGGACTCACCCCAAAAGCCAGGGCTATCTCTAAGAAGGAAGTCAAGTACGGAAGATCACAAAAAAGCATCTGTTGTACCGCTTGTACTGCGAGAATAAGACAAGCCTCATGGTGCAACTAGAGGAAGAGATATCAACAAGAAGAGGCATTTATTTAAAAGCCCAGTTTCCCCACTACTTGTATATTGTGTCCAGTCAAATCAGCACTAAGTTACTACCATTCCAGTCAGACAGGTTGGATGTCAGACATGACATCCACAAGGATCTTACAAAGACCAAAATAAGGGGCAATAGAACAGGTACTTCTATTTATATAGCATGTTTCACCTGGTGCTCTCAAAGTCCTCACAGAAACATGAAGTCTCACACCGTCACAGAAGTAGAAGTAGAATTAAAGGGAAAAAAATTTCTGGCCCAGTACTCTCACATATTTGGAGAGTAAGCTAAACGTAATTTCCTCAAAAGAAGTAAAAAGGAATAAGATAGCTCCTTAGATGTATTGACTGTATATAATATAGAATACATTTCAAGCAATCTTTAAACATGTTTCACTATACTTGAAACCATCATTCAAAACAAGTTTAGAAATTCTGGGCTATTCCAAGTTTTGAGACAAACACACTATCAAGTCTCAAAGGATAGTCTCCAGTTCGAATCAAACAATACAAGATTACCCTGTGAGAAGTTAAGACAGAATCAATTATTACAACCCTCCCACTTTATAATGCATAAATTTGGACAGTGATGAAGTAAGACTTGTCCTAGGTTGAAGATGGTGTCAGACAAGAACAGACCTTAATAGTTTTCCTACCTTCAGGTATCTGCTCTAGCCTTTAGACTGTGCTAAGAACAGTCTTATGCTGATTCCCCCCAAAAAAATCTTCAAGCCCCTTCTTAAAAGCTTTTCATAATAACCCAACTGTTTTCAATACTACTGTATCTTCAAGCACAATAAAGCAAATGGTAAATTTCCTTATTGCCATGTGCACACTTACATGAGGAGAAAAAATAGCAGGTGGTAAAGAAACATTAATTTTTGCCTTCAGTTCCTCCAAAAGGCTGCCACTGGCAGCGAGCACTCCCTGCAATAGAAGTAGTGAGTCACAAGTAAAAAGGGTGTCCAGACATGCTACAGACATCAACCAGTGCCCAAGATGGTTCTTTAATGTGCTTTTACTTATTTTTTCAGCATTTTTACAGATGAGGTTGACTCTTCAACATCACACTCAAGGAAAGTTGAGGCTCTACAGCACTAACCAAACCATATCACATAACCTCCTCATTTTAACCTACTACACTTAGCAGACAGTTAGTTCTGTTCTTGTGAAGAAAATACCCAGATACTGACTCTTTAGGACTATCTGAACACATTTTTCTAAAACTGCTTTCCTATCCATTTTGTTATCTGATCCATCTCAACATTAAAAGAAAAAGATATAGAATCAGTATTAGGCATTGAGCTGCAAGCAGAGTTAATCTGTTTACTGTGCATTTAACACTCCTGAATCACAACATTCTGCAAAGTGTCACATTTGGCACATACCACAAGAGTATTTGATGAGGCACTGTAAAGTTAATCTTAGTATTTAGAAGAACGAGCCAATGCCCACATCAAACGAAGTCTTGTATAAAACCAAGGCAAGAGATTCTTTCACTTCACAGTATTGTTTCAGTTACCTTTTGGAAGTCAAGCGGTGGCTCTTTCAGGGATAGGGGATGTAGGTGCCCGCTTTTTTCCAGCAAACTGCTACTACCCAAAACCATGATGAGGGAACTCCAGCATTTAGGCTGAAACATGGCAGAACATTTGTTTACAAAGTCAAATCCGCTCACAGAGGTGTGAAATATTCAGAGAGAAAAGGGTTCTGATAGTAAATTCTTGCATTAGAGAAGTAACTGGACAAAACAGGTAATATACTATTGTGGTTTAACCTGGCAGACTGCACTATACCAGCTACTTGGAAGAAAATTAACTCTATCCCAGCCGAAACCAGAACATATAAAGAAACACTCAGCGGGCCACACAAACACAGTTTTAATACAGACTCACATTCCTGTATAGCGACACGTTGCTGTAAAGGAGTTTGAGCGCCTGCTTAATTAGAACACCATCTTTCAAGGGAGACCCTGCAAGAAGAAAAAATCCAAAACGTATCTTATATTCCCTGAATAACTACAGAGTGTGAACACAAACAAGATATTAACTTAGTTACAGATATGTTTCTACAGAAACCTAACAAAAAGGGACAAATGAGTGTCTACAGATATTTTACGATTTTTTGTAGGTTCTGAATAGAAAAACAACATCAACTGTAAAATGCTATTCCAGAAAGCTGCAAAGAGCTGAATACAATTTAGACTAAGCCATCACAGCAGGTAACCCAGAACAAAGTCTTCATTATGTACCTCATGCCACAGTACAGTGCAACACACACTATCAGTATCTGATACATCTAAGAATTCTACTAGTAGTTGAACATCTCCACAATAAGTCTTTCATTTCAGAATACACCTTGACAAGTAGCACGCACCAAGACAGGTGATCACAGTTAGCAGTGGCTAAACTAATGACAATGTAATTCTGATCATGAAACCCTTTCCATCAGGAAGCTTTTATTCTCAAGGTCAAGGCTGAGACACACCATAATGCTAAGTTACACACTGCCATTGGTAGTGCCATGATGTAATAGAGAGCTTTGTTTTTTTTTTAATAGGTTGCTTTCAGCAAAAACAACTTCACAGCTGACAAAACTAGCACTTTGTGAAGTGTACTAAACAAATTCATGCTCAAATATAAAGACATTCTTCCTGCCTAGCGTTATGTACTGTGCTTTAGTCCGGACAATTTATAATTGGGTTCAGAGTCCCTCAGAATGTTACTAGATCTAATGAAAAAGGAAAAGCTGTAATTAAGTAAGGTTCTAAACATATGTAATCAAAAGAAATCACACTTGCCAACTGTAATCCAGGGCCCAGAGTCTAGCATAACGTTTCCAGTGGGGACACTGCCTGTTCTGAACATCTTCAGGTAGACCTCAAACTGAAAAGGTGTTATCCGGCAGGCAGTACAGCAGGCGAGGCTATTGACGGGAAACAACAGCGAATGCGCAGCATCAAGGAAGTCTCCAGTTTTACACAAATAGAATGGGATTTTATCTCGAAGGTCTCTTAACCTGGAAAGAAGGAAGAAATGAATATTTGATTTTCATTAACATGAAAGTTTTACAATACATATGTATAGATCTGATTATGCTTGACCACTAGTAAGTTACATCCAATAAGGCAGAAATTAGTTGCAATGCAGTATTACTTTCACTTAGCAAACAGCTACCAAAATCCGACTGCTTTTTGATCTGCCAGTTTATTACACATTGACAAAACACAGACTGGGACACAATCTTAAGGAAAGAAACAATTTTAAAAAAAAAAGCCATTTACCCTTTGGTATCATTGCATTTCACAGCTCTCAGGTAGCGAACAACTTCTTTATAGCTGGGGATAAAAAAAGAGGGTAAGCAGGAAGAGGAAGGAAGTGCAAAGCTATATACAGGTCAATCAAACATTTACTACAATTAATGAAGCAAAACAGTAGGTCTTCCCACACAAGAGACATTGCACAATGGGACAGAAATACAACTGGCAGAAAGAGACAGTTGGAAATAAGTTCCAAGAAGCTATCCACAGATTATCTCTGTACTCTGGCAAAATGAAACAGGAGGTTCTTTAAGTGGACTGTATTCTTTTGAATACAGACTTCTGAAGACCCAGAAACCACAACGCACTTTTTTGCTGTCTTCCATCTAGTCAGCCGTTGATGAACAGAATTTGTTTTAAACATCAACATCTAAAACTTACTAGGGTTATGGAAACAAAGAAATTATCCACTTCAGCTTCTCTTCTCGTCCTGAAGTGTTCAAAGGGCTTGATTCTGCTTTGAAAAACTTCAAAAACCTACTGGCCTTGTTGATAAGTAATGGGCATGAACAGCTTCAAAATATGTCTTTGTTTTGTATGTTTCCCCATTATACAAAACTCCCACAGATGTTAGGAAAACACTATACTGCAGTCAATACCATGCAAAATGTAACAGTTGAGTTCATAAAATGAAAAATCCAAAACAAACCAATCTTACTTCTTTTTGTCTACCAATTTCTCCACTCGAGCCTCTATAACAGGGAGTGTTTCCCACAGAAATACTTTTCTTCCTTTCTGTGTTCTTTGACCAGTGATGTTCTGGCCTTTTAAAACAGTGGTCAGTAATACATGGTCCCATGGCACAACATTCAAGCTGAAAGTACAAAAATAAAGTAATTTTTAACCATGTTTTGTTTGTACACCACAATTTGTTTCCCTTAAGTAACATGAAGATTTTCTAATAAAACATTTTGAAATTTACAGCTCACTTCTGGGGGGAAAAAAACAAGAAAAAAAAAAAGAAAGAAAAAAGCTATATGGACAACAACTTAGCCATAGCATCAAACAACAACTTTTCCTGTAAGGACAGGACAAATACAAAGCAGCTAATACTGAAATCTTCCTATAAAATGCTCACACCTAACACTGTCACTGAAAGAACCATTCTATATAGCTGTTTTCAAAACAAGCAACTGTATAAAAATATATTCTGTAAACAAAAAACAAAGAACATACCTATTTGAGAAGCCAAAACAGTGACATGGAAGTGAGATGGACTGAAAAAAATTAACAAACTTTTCATACAAATTTTTTGGAAAGTCACACAACACCAGCATCCTCTGAAGTTGTGTTGTGATCCTATGTTTTGAAAAGAAAAGAAAAAGAAAAATTTCTTAAAATCAGATGAATTACTATTAAGTTGTTGCTTTTTTTTTTTAATCCTATGGGAAACTATTCTACAGAAGTTTTGGGTTTTTTTCTGTTAAATGTCAGACAGTTTGGATCTATACTTAAATTTGTGCTTTAAGATTTGTAGTGAATAACAGTATTGCTCTTTTGTTATTATTTTTAAACACCAGTGAAACCAAGGTTCTGTGATCTTAAGTTTTAAAACAAAGATCCCCAGTGAGTATGTGCGAGAAACACTGCTGTAACATACGATGAACCCGATAAGCAACCTGATCAACCTGAGCTCCTGGTAGCTTCACAGCTAGTGAAACCATTTTTGTCTTAACTGAAAACACACTGATACAAAGAAGAATTTACTCTTTTAAAGTTGGGGGAGGGAGGCAAAAAATTCCTTTTCCTGTTCTTTTAAAGTAAGAAATGAAAAAATTCAAGAATAGTAATTTAAAATGAAAACTGATATAGGATTTAGGTTATACCTGTCATTAGTTTCAAATAAGAGGTGAGAATATATAATTGTTTTTGAGTGCTCCTGAAAAAAGTTAATTCTTAATTCATTAACCTTCTGTTGCAAGTGAATTTCGGGTTAAAGGTGAAATATAAAGCTAAAATGAGAAATGAATTAAGCCAAGTGAGCTAGATGACCTCATTCATCAGCCTCTGGGGGAACTTTACTATGTTACATCCCTGACTACTCCATCCCAGTGGAGTACTACAAGGCTGCTGTTTTGATCTTTAACAGACACTATTTACTCTTTGGCTTAATAACCACAAGTAGCTACCTGACACCACCTTCTGGTCTGGCCTCACAGAACAGTCCTAGACGACAGTCAAAAACTAATCCATCTTCTTGGCTTTGAGTCCCCCATTGAGTTATTCTCCTTTAAGGCCACAAAGAAGGGTTTGAATGTTTATGTGGCTCTAAATAAGGCAGGTATTGCCCCTCTCCTTCACAGAAAGGAACTAATACTCAGCAGGGCTTCTAAAAATCCTGATTTGTAGTGTACAACCGTAGAACCTGATAGCATGCTGGGGTCCCTGCTTGTTAGTCTGACCGGTGCGTGTTATTGTTTGTATTCTTCTGCCTGTCCCTACCCATCTGCAGTCTACAGGCAGGCAGCAGCAGGCTACTCTTGCTCAAACACCACCTAAGACAGTACAGTGGGGTCATGTTCCCTGATAAGGAGTTCCTGATGCTACAGAACCATCAGATTATACACCTGTGTAAGTTTACTTTCGGCTTTTAAGAGCTAAAGCATTCACTTTTACTCTTTATGCCTTTGAATAAAAGTCACTTGAAATGCATTTTAAATGCAAGCAGAAAGTTTGCAGCCAGCAACCATCCCATTGCCGTCTCATCACATGATAAGACAAGTCTTACCTTTGCAACAGACAAGGGACAGCAATCTTTAATGAAGCAGTATGACCAAGGTTCTGCCAGCTTCTAAGAGGGGAGGAAAAAACCACTAATTAATTTTTGGCTTGTTTTCCTGCCTTTTCCCATTCTCTATACTCAACTGTTTAAGAAAACACTTTTTTCTTAAAAAGCATTGGGAGCTATCATACTAATAAAAATTATTCCAAACAGATAAAACAAGTGCTCAAAGTGTACAACACATTCTAGAATTAACACTGTTTTACAGCAGTACTTAACCAACTGAAGCATACCTCCCCCCTCCCGACCCAAGGAGAATAAAGCAGTACTAAACCTTCTAACCTGCTGTATTGGACCATCACGGGCACATCTTTGCTTTTACAGGGCCTCTGAAGGGCTGTATATCATCATCCCATGTAACTACAGTGAATGCTGTGGGACTCATAAGGGTACAAAGAGAGACCTACCCAAATAACGTATCCAGCCTGCTCCTTGCAAACCTTGACAGTTCCTCAGAAAGAATTGCAGAGGAGCTGCTGTTTCTGGCCTGTCGAACCAACCCAGACCACGTTTACTTCTCCTTTATAAAAAGCCTTGAATTTAAGCCCCCAAAAATATTTAGGTTTTACAAAGCAAAGCTCTGCAACCTTGCTCAGGCTAGACAGTAATCAAGCATGAAAGAGCCATGATATAAACAAGAAAATAAACAGCACAAGTAGTAAAGACTTAAGTATTTAAACTCTGTTTTTATTTATTTACTATGCAGTCCTCCCAGCTGACAGGTCAGCCTCCAGACTTATGGGAGGCATCTAAAACTTATTACCCAAGGAACCACACATCCTCCCTTCCTTCCAGTTCAGACGCAGATGTTTCTTCACACAATGCACTCTCCACTCAGGAAAGCTCCCCTGCCCCTGTACCTTCTCCTGGGGAATTAACCCCACCTGCCACCATCTGCTGTCTGTCACCCTCCCTCCTCCCAGTTCCCATCTCAAATTCCTTCCCCTTGTTGGAGATCATCTCCCCTCCTCATGACTCAATCCCACTTAACTTCTTCCTCTCACATCCAACCTTTAACCTTCTCTTTTCCCCAAAATCCCTCCCCATAACCAATCTCATTTCTCCCTCAGGTGTACTCATTTTCCTCTCACTGTGCTGCAGCCAGGGCTGAGATCTTAACACTGTCCTTACTCTTAATAAATGGAAAACCAGAACTCTCTCACTTAGTCTCCTCCCTTTGAGGAGCAAATGAAGATTACACACTAGATGTAGAACTGGATACTTACAAAGCAGGGTCTTTATGAAGTGCTATCTCTTTAGCTGCTCCCAGAAACATGACAGCAGCAGCTTTAGGACTCTCTCTTTCTGCCTGATTTAAAAATCTTGTTACCAGCGCAAAAACTCCAGAATACCTAAGAAAGTTAAGTAGTCTATAAGATAAAGTGTCTGCAATGATGTACTTTGTAAACAAATGGCAGTTATAACCATTCCACAGTTTGAGAGCAAATTGACTTGTCTTTCCTTGAAAAGCGTCTATAACATAGTGAAAAGGTATTTGCATAACCATTACTTTAAGCATTTTAAAGGCACATACCATCAAGTAAAAGCTGAACCCCATCCCAAAAAACAAATTAGTAAAAATACGGGCTTTACTTTCATGCTTTCCCAGGTTATAATTATAAGGGATATTATCAAGTGTCTTAGTATATCACTAAGAGATATATTTAAGATGTATTTAAAGACGTATTTAAGGGGATGTTTAAACTACACACTTTAAGCATTTTAAAGGCACATACCATCGAGTAAAAGCTGAACCCCATCCCAGAAAACAAATTAGTAAAAATACAGGCTTTACTTTCATGGTTTCCCAGGTTATAATTATAAGGGAGATTATCAAGTGTCTTAATATATCACTAAGAGATGCATTTAAGATGTATTTAAAGATGTATTTAAGGGGATGTTTAAACTACATCCAAGTGCAATTTAATAGCTCACTGGCCAAGTAAGTTCTCTCAACTATGTTTCTGCTATATCAGGTGCCGTGATTCCGATTATCACTTGACTAAAGGAAATCAAACCTGCACTGACCAGTATGTACTGCTAGTAGCTGAGTTCTGTTGTCACTTACTTGTATACAATCTCCATGTTGCGTGATCTGCAGATATTGCATTGCCCAGGAGGCAATTTTGGGAGGCAAAAGCATTCATGTTGTGTGGGAGGCATTCTTTCTCCAATCAGATACTTATTATATTCCACAGAAAGTTCCTGGATAAATTTTATTAGAAGACTTCCTAAGAGAGCAGACAGATGTGAAACTCTTAGTGCAATTTTTTATATTTATTTTTTCAAAACTAAAAGAAACAGAAAGACAATCATAAGTACCCCACGTAAAATATTTAGCAAGTTACACCCAGTCTTATTGGCCAGGAACGCTTTCTTGCTTCTTCCAGAGGAGGAAAGCAGGAAAGTACACAAACTGGACCTGCAGACCTGTGTCTGGTCTGAGCATGGCCCAGAAAGAGAGTAGCTGCTACCTTAAAAATTCACTGAGCCTTCACAAGGAGAGTTGTGGACCAGACAAGATGTCCATCAAGCCACAGACTGAGTAATCACAGTGAGCCACAGGTCTCCCAGGACAGTATGAGAGCATAACGCTTACCACCATGCCGAAGGTCTGCGTCTATATCTGTGAGCTCCAAATTGAACATTACAAGAACACCAGCCAAGGCAAAGTCACGCTGGTCCTTCCAGAATTTGCTTTTGTTGTGTGCATTGCAGTGACAGAGGGAAGGGGTTGTCCAATTCTGGCACTATTTTGTAAAATGTGAAAAACAGGGAAGGGTTTTTTTTGGTGTGGTTTTTTTTCCTCCAGTTGAGCAAATCAAAAACTAGTTCCTCTGAGTGAAGTTCATTTCATCCTTTACACACGTAGGCAAAGCCACAGTGAAGTATTTTGATAGTTAGGGCAAGAGGCCAATACGGCAATAACTTAATATCATGGCTAACAAAAACCCAAACCAAACCAAAAAAGCCCATAGTAATTTACCGCCATTCCTGAATACCTTACAGAGACACTTAGAGCTGGCACCCTCCCCACTGTAAACTGGTAACAGAGCGCTGTCTTTGCATGCTCACCCCAACTTTGCTCACAGTTCAAAGTTTCCTGAATTCTGAGAAAAACACAAATAAACGCCACACACCCAATTATCCCAACTCACCCACTCCCTCACTCTAGATTAGGACAGTCTAAAAGCTTGACATTTCTCTAGTGCAGTGAGAAGCAGTCTGATTTAGTAATTTGATTCCATGAAATACACTGTGTGCCTAAAGCAAACACGAGGTACATTTGCTTACATCAAGTGAATGTCTACTCCGACAACTGGCTGGACTACTAGAAATAAACCCAGCCAGTGACCACATTTTTAGTAGCATTGTGAAGCAGACAGATATCATCATTTAGGAGAGAAACTGTTAAAATAATCAGATTTCATGTATCATTTATTCTTTTAGTGTGCTTGAGAGGGATTTCTTTTAAAAAGACTGTTGAGTAATTTAGTCTAGGCAAAGTTGTGCATTTCTTGATTACAGCTCTTCTTACCTCAGAAGCTAGTTTATCACAAATGTAGCAGTAGCACTGATTACAGATATCAGCATTTTTTCCAAGGGGTGAGCACGTATCACATTCCATTCGCCTACAGAGTTGAAAAACAGAATGTTATTTATGAAAAAAATTACATGCTTCTCCAACTCTACTTCTGCTTTTGGATGTTAAAAAGCTAACAAGGTTACTTGACAAGGTGGACTAAGTGTGGAAAATGAAACCCCATATTAATCTCCACGTCACTGAACATACTCAAATGGGTGTATCGTACAGTCGTATCTTGCATGAGGCATCACTTTTGCTTGTTTACAGAAAGTAACCATTAGTTCACATTCCTCATCCACAACTTCTTCAGATTTCTCCTCTTCCAGGGCAGACTTCTCTGTAGAAAAGAGAATATGCAGTGTAAATCAGTATAAAGGTAACTACAACTTCACTACAAATTCAACCAGCTATTGACACTTGTTTTTTAAAAACACTATAAGGCACAAATTTTCTGATGATTTCATATGGCGCCAATAAGGATGGTACACTGGCCCAGGACAAAAAACTTCCACGCACTATCAAAACAGAGGTAATTTAATCAAAAAGGATCCAACTGACATTGAAAAGGCCTAGTCTCAGCTAGGTTTGCAATATTTTGAAACTACACAACAGTATCCTTTAAGGTAATTAGTGCCATCAAAGAAATCCCAAAAGTTATGAAACAATGGTACTTCTTCCTGGTTTTATTTATTTTTGAAGTACTTTGTTTTCCTAGCAGCGGAAAAACATTTCAAGCACATCACATAACATTTTACTTCAGCTTATTTCAAAAGTTCTTTACAGAACTTCATCAATAGCAAGAGAACAGTACTTACCCAATGGGTCTACTAACAGAACTGAATTCCCAAGCGTGCTCTCAGCTTCATCATCGCTGATCAGGATTATGCTCTGCTCTTCCTCTTCTCGTTTTGATGGCCCCATGGTTATTGAACTCCAAAGGAAAGGAACTACTTGGCAGCTAATAGGACACAAGGATAGCTCCCACTCTGAAGGTCCTTTCCTCAGGAAGGGAAGAAAAAGACTTCTTCAAGACACAAACTCTTCATCTATGTTGATTAAGTTATGCTAGGGACAGAAACGTTCAACCCTTACTGCAGTCAGCAGCTCAAAAAACATTGCAGTTTCCATCCGGAGCTGAGAGAACCCTAAAAACAAGGAGGTGGGAATATGAGGAAAAAAAAACAAAACAAAAACCGAAGAAAAAAGGGATAAAAGCTGGCATTCCTCTGGTGGGACCCCCCTTGAAAGACCTACCTAATGATAACAGCTATTGTTATTCACAATAACAACAGTGCTCGAGGCACCAGAGATGCCCAGCGCAGACCCTCCCCTCACACTCCCCGTTCCCCAACCCCAAACAAGCGCACCCCCAA